ATTGTGGTTTCAGTGGGCTTGCAGGAGGAAATAAAAATAAAAGCGTATCTGCCTGATACGATGTTTTTAGCCTTTCATTTTTATCTTTGTGTTCACAGTGTTCTGAATCACCTCTGCCACCCCTCCCTCTGCACACACCCTCCTTTCCCCTGCTCAGGGTCCTCCCCTTGTGCCCTGGCCCTCCCGTTTGCTCATTTGTTAAGAGCCGATTCTGCTGAAACCCCCCCATAAACCGAGCTTTCCAAGTAAGAGCGATCTTTCCTTCCTGAATTCACAAAACATTTTCTTTTTTTGGGTGTAGTTTTTTTTTGAACACATGGGCTTCCTCTTTTTTTTATGACTTATGTTTTGTCAGATAAATTTTATTTTATTTTTGAGACAAAGTTTCGCTCTGTTGCCCAGGGTGGAGTGCAGTGGTGTGATCTCAGCTTACTGCAACCTCCACCTCCTGGGTTCAAGTGATTCTCCTGGGACTACAGAAGAAGGAGGAGCTGGGACTACAGGCGTGTGCCATCACGGCTGGCTAATTTTTGTATCTTTCATAGAGACAGGGTTTCATCATGTTGGGGTGACCTGCCTGCCTTGGTCTCCCAATGTGCTGGGATTATAGGTGTGAGCCATTGCACTTGACCTGTCAGATATATTTTAATTTCTGACATTGGGTGATGATGGTTTCTTTGCCTTCATGCAATGCTTTGCATGTAGTAAGTACTCAATTTTTTTTTTTTTTTTTAAATCAACATGGATTTTTCAGTGATCTTTTTCTGGTCTTAAGTTAGGCAGGATATTGACCGTTGCGGTATGCCATGATTAATGCAAAAGTAGGGTGTTATTTCTAGTTGCAGATACTTTTCTTGAAATTTGCACAGGCAGGTAATATGCATTATACAGGTCATAACTCACAAAAGTTCATTAACTTGCTGCATAGTATAAAGATGCTGCTTATAGAATCTGAGAGGTTTCCTGCAGGTAGGCTGGGACTTTGCACTGTTTTCTCTTACCACATCCTGCGGCAGAGTGGGCATCAGCATGCCTTGCAACTTGCATCTTGTAGGGTCACCTCTGCTTACATTCTAACTTAGTCTTAGGAAATGTTCTCTCTAGCATTAGGCCAGGTCAAGCTCATGTTCCTCTGAATAAGAGCAGCGATGCTTCATGTGGTTTTGTCTCCAGGTTTTTTCTGTGGGTTTGGACCCATCCTCGGGAACCTTGCCCCCCAAGGTCATTTGCTGCTTGATCATCTGTGTAATGGATGAACTCCTCTCCTCATTTACTGCTGTGTATGGTGGATTTTTGGTTGTCATAATATACAATTATTGTTAGTGTTTAAGTCTCTCATTATTTTAAATGGACATATCTTGAATGAGAAACATTCTTCTTTTTTGATTGAATGTTGTATCATGTTTAGTAACCCAATGACTGATAAAATTTTTATAGAATTAGTGTTTATTGGTAGTATAGAAAGTGGCTTATCACAACTTTTATCTTCCCCCTAAGACATGGGGTGTCACTGTGTTTCCCAGGCTGTAGTGCAGTGGTGCAGTCATAGCTCACTGTGGCCTTGTACTCTTGTGCTCAAGGGATCCTCCTGCCTCAGTCTCTCAGTTACTTGGGACTGAACGTGTGGGTCACTATGCCTTGACCTCCCAAAGTTTTGGGATTACAGGAATCAGTCACCAGGCCACACCTTACCACAGCTTTTTTTTTGTGTGCAGCTACATTTCTAAGTGTCTATGGACTGGACAGCAAAGATTTCTACCATTATTATTTTAAACTTTTTAATGCAAACTACTGCAAAGTGGAATTAATAAGTATGCTCCAACGTTTTCTCTGTTGGGTATTTGACTCTTCCCTTGAAAATACAGCAAGTCCTCTGTTTATTGAGAGGGAATTATGTTATGAAAGCTGCCAGTGAAAATCTCCCAAGAGACCACTGTTCTAAGGATTTGTATTTTTCAGTGGCAAAAATATCCTTCATGGTTTATAAACTCTAGTGGGAGGAGGTCATTTTTATATGATTCTTTTTTAAATGCAGCATGCTCTGTTGGGGTTACTATTGTTGTCCTGCTGAGTTATCTTCAAAAAGTCATATCCATTCAGCACATTTTTATGGAGTGGCATTTAATAAGTGGCAGCCTGGTATTTGCCTTGGCATGACGTTACCATGACTGCTTGGCATAGCTGAGCGTTGGGTCAGGACCCCTCCAGAGGCAGGAGTCGACAGTTGACTCTCAAAATTAGAAAACCCTTGATCAGTTAGTTGGAGGATGATAAGCCAAGTTTATAGAGTATTTTGAAGAGGGGGTAGCACATTCTGCTGATAGACCAAATAAGATGCGGACAGACAACAGACTTGGGTTAAGCATTGTGGAGGCCGTTGTGGATATGCTGGGTGGTTTTGGGAGTGTGGGGGAAGAGCAAGCCTGATTGGAATGGGGTTATGGGAGGAGACACCCTCGAAGCAAGCATAGACAATTCTTTAAAATATTTTGCTGTCAAGAGGATCAAAGAATTGGTATAATAACTGGAAGGTAAAGTAGGGTCAGTGAAAGGTTTTGTGCTGCATGTGTAAAAATAATTCACAGCCTTTAAAGACTCAAACTTGACACCTGACTACTATCTTCCATATGATTGTAGTTTTTAGGAACATTAACAGTGGGACAGGCTGGGCTCAGTGGCTCATGCCTAACATCCCAGCACTTTGGGAGGCTGAGGTGGGAGCACTGCTTGAGCCCAGGAGCTGGAGGCTGCAGCGGGCTATGATTGCATCATTGTACTTCAGCTTGGATGACAGAGCGAGACTCTGTCTTAACCAAGGAAACAGTGGGCGGGAGTTAGATTGCTGATCTGATTTGGGGGTGTGATGGTCAGGAAGAGCTCTTGGTGAAGTGGATGCCTGTGGAAGTCTTGATGGATGGACAGGGTCTGCCTGGAGGGTAAGGTGGGATCCAGGCATCGGAGGCCTTGGGCACGAAGTCAGGGGTGGCGGTGGGTGGATGGAATTGTGCAGGGCCTAATAGAGAGGGGCTGGGGAAAAGGCGAAAATGTAGCAAGTTCTGAGGGTGAAGTTACGAGGTTGAGAAAGTCCATAGGTGGGGATTTAATTCCAAGGGGTGGCTGCAAATGTTGTAAAGGCTGCAGATAATGATTTCATCTGGAGGGAGTTAACAGGGTTATGAGGCTTAAAGAATGGTGTCACAATTCACATTTTGGCGGTCAGCGTGCTTGTGTGTGTGTGGAAGTATTTTCAAAACAAATGGTTGATATTTAAGTTTTTTGGGCCACCCTTGAGCTTGCTTGGTGGGAAGAGGTGGGCAGGATGTGGTTTTCTAAATGGCCAGGGGGCACCTCTTCCTTATCCACCCCCAGGACATTAATGACTTTCAATTTTCCTTGAAGAGGAAATACCATTTACCATTAGTAAAAGGTTTTGGAATTTCATTCTTTGGGGACTCAACACATCTGGAGATGACAAATTCTGGAGCCGTCTCAGTGGCAGGTGTCCCAAGGACTCCTGGATGACATTGTCATTAGGATTCATGTGCAGTCAGAATAGGTTCCACAAATGAAGAGGATGCCAAGGGGTGTGTGTGTGTGTGTGTGTGTGTGTGTGTGTGTGTGTGTACCAACTTATTCTCGGTGTTCTAGATAAATGATTCCTTTCATAGAGGTCCAGACAGATGAAGGTACAGAGGAGTTAGGTTATTTGCATAATGGTTTTAATGGTGATGTTTAAAAACTTGGAGGATTAAGGTCTGAGCTCTTGCTGTACCGGTTAAAAAGTGACAAAGATTGGTCAGTCTGCATTTTTTAAATAAGTGTTCCGTTTTCGTGATTCTTGGGTATGCTTTGTTAGAAATGGACTTGGAGAGCTTCTTAAGAATATAGATTCTCAAAAACAAACAAAAGAAGAAAAGAATATAGATTCTCCCCACACCCCTGCCCCAGGGTCTTAGTACATCTGGAGTAGGGTCCAGGAATCTGTATTTTAACTCTCATTAATTGTTTGCCTCCTTCTTCCAAGCTTTGCTTCAGGAAAGAACTATGTCGAACATCACCTTTTAGATTTGAAGAATGGAGGGTTACCTTGAACTTTTGGATAGCAGTTCTGTGTTGCAGAATGAATGCAGTAGGGAATGGTGAAACATACAATTTAGTATATTTTCATTTGAATATGTACATGAGAGTGATGTGGAAGTTCAGAAACACACAACTGTGTTCCTTCTTCAGATAATTTGAAAGCAGTGTTTTAAGGATTTTAAAATATGTGTTCACCAGATAGAAGTGTATAAAATTTAAAATGATGTCCCTTTTTTCCCTCCTCTCCAATTCCACTGCAGTGATAACCACTGCAAATTTCGGTGTGTATGTTTAGGCGTGTGTGTGTGTGTGTGTGTGTGTGTGTGTGTGTGTGCGCGCGTGCACACACGTGTGATTTTGCCTCTCTATAAGGAGTCTCAAACCACACAGGAAGCGCCTTGTTCACGATGGTCTTGTCAGCATCCTTCTGCGTCCCTATCTTTAGACCTGTTTGTAAGAAACACTTTGAGCCACCAGGGTGTGCACACTACTTTTTACAGATGAGCAAAAATATGAATTCTTCAGACACATAATATATGCTGTTTGCTCTTTAGAATATTTCTGTAGATTGCATTGGGTGAATTGATAAGTATTTCATATATTGGGCAATAGGAAATCTAGTATGCTTTAGAGAAATCAGTATTTCTTATGCAGTACATATTGCTGGTTTGTGCAGTTCCTATCGTAATAGAGTATCAGCATCAGAGGCAGAGGGAAGAGTGTATATGAGTCACTCCATCATAAAAGGAGCAGTAACCTAATACCAAACTGAGGGTGCTGCCTGAATTCTAAATCAGTTACAGCATTGTTGATACGGTCGATTCTTGTTTATGGGCAGGAAGTTATCATGGTTTAAAATGTCTGATTCCCTTTTGGTGATGCTAACTTGCTACAATCAATGTTTCTGTTCTTTCCTTTAGGATCCAAACTACTGGATACAGGTGCATCGCTTGGAACATGGAGATGGAGGAATACTAGACCTCGATGATATTCTCTGTGATGTAGCAGATGATAAAGACAGAGTAAGTTCAAGTCCCAGGGAACCTGCTCTGGATGCATTGTTTCTGAGAGCTGGGGAGTGGGTGCGATTCTCTTCCTTTCTGTTTTAGACATATACTTTAAATTATGTTTGAGTCACCCACACTAGCATATTTTCTTTTATAGTAAGTGTCACAACTCTTCGCTGCCCTGAATACCAAGGTATAATGATTTTCTTGATACCTGGGACTTAACACTAAGTTTTAGGGTTTTAAAATTACAGCTTTGCAATGGAAGTATCACAAAAAGATTTTTGTGCCTTATTCCACCTTAACTTAACCAAACATAACACCTTTCTTGACAACTCGGGCCTGTCCGTTTCATCTCTGTGTCACACAGTATGCAGCAGCTCTGTGTTCTGGTCCCAGTGTTGGCCAAGAGAGGATCCGTCCCGACAGCAGCCTGTGCAGCCCACTGCGTTCCTGTGTGATGGGCGCGTGTGTCCCGGGCAGCTCCCTCATCTCTCAGGAAGCTCAGCCTTTTTGTGTGATGGCTGAATGTGTTCCGGGCAGCTCCCTCATCTCTTAGGAAGCTCGGTTTGCTGTGTGATGGGCAAGTGTGTTCCGGGCAGCCCCGTCGTGCAGGGCCTGGCTATCAGGAAGCTGGGCCTTGCTGTGTGATGTATGAGTGTGTGCTGGGCATCCCTCCCATGCAGGGCCTGGCTCTCAGGTTGCTGGGCCTTGCTGTGTGATGGGCGAGTGTGTCTTGGGCATCCACTCCATGCAGGGCCCGGCTCTCAGGAAGCTGGGCCTTGCTGTGTGATGGGTAAGTGTGTCTTGGGCATCCGCTCCATGCAGGGCCTGGCTCTCAGGAAGCTGGGCCTTGCTGTGTGATGGGTAAGTGTGTCTTCCCATGCAGGGCCTGGCTCTCAGGCAGCTTGGCCTTGCTGTGTGATGGGCGAGTGTGTCCTGGACAGCCCTCCCATGCAGGGCCTGGCTCTCAGGCAGCTTGGCCTTGCTGTGTGATGGGTAAGTGTGTCTTGGGCATCTGCTCCATGCAGGGCCTGGCTCTCAGGTAGCTGGGCCTTGCTGTGTGATGGGTAAGTGTGTCTTCCCATGCAGGGCCTGGCTGTTAGGAAGCTCAGCCTTTTCTCTGTCTGTGCTCTGTGCTGTGTGTGCTTCCCCCGTCTTTGCTGTGGTCTGTGAGCTTGGCTCCTGGACATACCCACCTACTGCACTTCCATTTTTTTCTGTACTCTTGAGAGGAATGAGGAAGAGGAGGAGGAGAGGGAGGAGGAACGTTCAGCATTTTGAGAATGCGTGACGGGATGTTTGGCTCTGTGTGTAGAAGTCAGCAAGTTCTTTTTGGAGACAGGGTCTTGCTCTGTTGCCCAGGCTGGAGTGCGGTGGTGTGATCACGGCTCACTGCATCCTCCACCTCCCAGGCTCATGTGAGCCTCCCACCTCAGCCTCCTGAGCAGCCAGCCATGCCCACTAATTTCTAAATTACTTGTGGAGACAGGATCTTGCTATGTTGCTCAGGCTGATCTCAACTCCCATGATCAAGTGATCCTCCTACCTCGGCCTCCCAAAGTGTTGTGATTGCAGGTGTGAGCCACTGTGCCAAGCCCAGCAAATTCTTTATGGTTCTGAGGAGACTTGAGCAGGCTTCTGGAGCCATCTGGCCCCTCCTTTTGTATTTGGCTTATAAGGAATTGCAGAAGGGCTCATAGCCACAGGTGTAGATGCATCAGCATGGTTGTACGGAGGCAACGACCTGGTTGGCTGTCTCCTAAAACCTCGCTGTGTGGCACAGGGTATTCAGCCAGCCAGGTTATATCACAAGGTCGGAAGATGGTAAGGTCACCGGACACTCACTCTGCGTCCTACTGGGGCTCCCTCTGATTCCTGGCCCTCACTTCCCGGCCTGCTGTTCTTGTCCTCTGCTGCGAGATGGGTGCGCATTCCTGACAGCATCGTGCCTGGCTGAGAGTTGGGGCATGTCGTAAATGTTTTCTTGAAATTTCAAGTAAAACAAAAAACATCAAATGCCAAATATTGTATAAATTCGGAAGATTAGATTCACTTAGCACCTGTCGTAGTGGAGTTCGTCACAGGTGGCTCCTGTGGGCGAGGAATACCTTGTGTCAACAAACCCAGAACTCCCTGCTGTCTTAAGTTTTGATGCTGTTTTTCTTGGTGCCATTTCTCCTTCTTGGGCTTTTCAGTGAGCCAGGCTTAGGGTAACTCAAATCCTTTTCTGCAGTCCACGTGAAGAGTGCCATCTTTCATTTATTGTGTGGCTAAATTCCAGTGTTTAAGGCAACTACAGAGATTTATGAAGAATTTAAACAGGTGTTCCTTCTCCACCAGGAGATTAGAAAGGGATGAATTAATGTATCGATCTCTCAGTGGCTTCCTCCCTTCTTCTTACATCTTTTTCTGTGTTTTGTTTTTCTCTCCTCCCTCTGTTTCTCTATTCCTTTCTCTTGCTATTATTTCCTATGTAAAAATAGCACAACTCTGGTTGGGTGTGGTGGCTCATGCCTGTAATCCCAGCACTTTGGGAGGCCGAGGTGGGTGGATCACAAGGTCAGGAGTTTGAGACCAGCCTGGCCAACATGGTGAAACCCCATCTCTACTAAAGATACAAACAATTAGCCGGGCATGGTAACCCCGTCTCTATTAAAGATACAAAAAATTAGCTGGGTGTGGTGGCACATGCCTGTAATTCCGGCTACTCAGGAGGCTGCGGCAGGAGAATCACTTGAACCCGGAAGGTGGAGGTTGCAGTGAGCCGAGATCACACCATTGAACTCCAG